TTTTTTTTTTTTTTTTGTGCAAAGAAAAAAATAATGAAAAAAAGATGAAAAGTGAAAGAGAAAGAAAAAAAGAAAGAAATAAGAAGAATATATGTGAAGAAAATTGAAGAGAAATGGGTGAATGTGAAAGGAATAAAAAATTAAAAGAAATAGAGAAAAGAAAATCACGTGGGTGTTTGTTTTTTTTTTGTTTTTTTGTTTTGTTTTGTTTTGTTTTGTTTTTTTTTTTTTTTTTGTGCAAAGAAAAAATAATGAAAAATAAAGATGAAAAATAAAGTGAAAGAGAAAGAAAAAAAAGAAAGAAATAATAAGAATATATGTGAATAAAATTGAAGAGAAATGGGTGAATGTGAAAGGAATAAAAAATTAAAAGAAATAGAGAAAAGAAAATCACGTGGGTGTGTGTTGTTTTTTTTTTGTGTGTGGTAGAATATAGTATAATAAAAAGAGAGATAAGAGATATATATAAAAGAAAGAAAGTGGGGGAGGGTGGGAAGCAGAAAGTGAAAGGGAGTAAAAGAAATAAATAAATAAAGTGTGTGAGAGAGAATCAAGAAAGCAGAATGGGGTCTGGACTAGGTGCGCAGAGAGAGAGAGAAGAAGTGGGGTGGGTGTGTGTGGGGTTAAATAAATAAAAGAAAAATGGGTGTGAAGTGTAAGGCTCTCTCTTTATCTAAACCGTGTGTGTGAATCTGGAGGGTTCGTCCGGCGAAGGTGGTGGGGATCTGGAGGGTTTCGCCGACGGACATGGCGATGGCGGGGACAGTGCCAGTGCCGGTGGCAGAGATGATGGAAGGCTCTGCTGATGATAATGAAACGGCGATGGAGGTGTTCCCGCTGGAGGAGGCAGAGGAGAGGAGCTCGTTGGGGAGAGCGACGGTGACGGAAATGCCTGAACCGGAGAGGGCTGTGAGGACCTCCGAGTCGGAGTCGTAGAGCTTGACCTGGTTCAGGCCTTGTGACTTGAGGAGTTGAACTACTTGGGATGGTGGTAGTGGATTGTCTGCGATGCGGCCATAGTTTACTCCGATGGAACCCGTATCGGAAAATGAAGAAGCAATGGGGAAGTGAGAGAGAGGGAGAGAGGTTAAGCTTTGCCATTCTCTGAAACTCACAGAAAGAGATGGGTTTGATCGCCGGTTCGATCAGGTCCGGTTTGAACGAACCAGATGATACGAACCAGATGATGATGGGTACGAAGTTTGGAGAGCAGAGAGGGCTATGGGAGATGAGATTTTAATCGATTTGTCGAGGTTGAATTTCATGGCCGCCATTCATGTACTGACCTCGCGTAGCGATGGAGAGAGAGTTGAAGATGCGGCGGAGTGAAGGTATGTGTAGAAAACTTTAGCGGAATTGGTTGAGGTCCGGCGGACGGCTAAGGTGAGGTTGCCGCCCGCCGGTGAAGCGAAAATATTAGGTTCTAAACCTGCTCTGATACCATGTTAAAATTGATGTATGTATTATTGATTGATATATGTTGTTATGTTTACAATTCCTATATATAGAAGAGAATGTGGTAGTAGGTGTAGGTGGTAGGTGGAGTGAAGTGGAGGTGGTAGGTGGAGTGGGTGGTAGTGGAGGTGGTAGGTGGAGTGGATGGTATGTTTACATTTTACATTAACAATTTTCATGAAAGACTTTTCATGATCCCTAACATTTCTCAAGAAAAAAACTCAAGATTTAATTCTGGTAATAAAATATGTATTGAATTTTTAATTTTGTTAATTTAATAATTTTAAGTTTTTGATTTGTTTTAAATCTAAATCATCTGTTTATTTACGTTAGATACTAATAAAAAATAATAATATTTTAATCATTTTAGTCATTATACTCCTGCCTGCTTGGGAGAAGCTTTTCCTGGTAGCTAAAAAAGTCAAAATATCACATCATGTATATCAGTTAATCATTGTTTCTCTCACAACTATCTATTTAACGAAAAAAAAATTATTCCAATTTTTTTATCTCATAAAAAAGGCCAAAAAATAAAAAAATAAAAAAGCCAAGTTCTCAAACAGATTCTCAATGTAGGTGTATGAAAAATATTTAAAATATCTTTTTCTATTGAATTTAGTAACTAAAATACTAATTTTCCATCAGTTTTAATAAATGGAAACAAATCTAAGAAATTAAGGTTTAAATTGACAAAATTAAAAATTAAAAATATATTTTATTACAAAGGTCAAACCCTAAGACCTTTTTCTTTTCTTTTTTTGTAATTTTCTCAAAAAAATATTTGAAAAAATGCACTTATTTTATATGGATTTTATTTTGTGTGCCAAAATAATTTTTTAAAATTTAGAGAAAAAAAAAATTATCAAGCATTTTTTAAGACTTATTTGGTGTAATTTCTTATAAATTGAAAATTGATAATAAAAAATATAAGCTAAAATCACATTTGGGTAAATTTTACCAATGGCCTTTGTAATTTTCTCTGAATTGTAATTTGGTCCTTTCATTTCAATTACAACATATTTATCCTATAATTTCACTTTTTGTATTAAATAAGGACAATAGATGACAAATGTTAAACTTTCGATGAAAAATAATCATATGCACCGCACGTGATCAACTACGGTTAAGAACAAAAATAGAATTTTACATGAACCTTAACCCATTGGGGTCACTCGCAATTATATAATTTAATTTTTATTTTGAAGATTTAGAACCATAACATTTATTTATTTTCCTATATATATATATATAGATGGTGGTGGAAGAGATGAACATATTGACGACAGTGTTCCTAAGATATGACAAGGAGAAAATTTACTACCCAAATTCAGTTCTACTCACTAAACCCATCAGCAACTTCCGTAGAAGTCCTGAAATGGGTGATTCTGTTACTTTCTCCGTTGACATGTCTACTTCTTTGGACTCCATTGCTGCTCTTAAGAAGTCCATTCAATTGTAAGCGTTCTCTCTTTCATATATATACATATATATATATATATATATACATATATATATATATATATCATTCTCATTACACAAACCAATTGATATTGATGATAATGGTAAGTTTTATATAGTAACAACCCATTACATGAACCCCTAATTTTGATCTCATAAATTGAGTTTGTGTGTAAAATTGGGGTTTTGATTTGTGTATTATTTAGGTGTACCTTAAAAGATAACTCTAAATAATTTAATAGAGTGTACTGAGAAATTAGACGCACTTAAAAAAAACTTTTAGATACAAATAAAATCCCCATACATTTTAGGCTAACACTATTTTATTGATTTGAACTTGAAACCTCTTTACTAGTCCTATATACCACTCTTGACTAGGGATGGACAAACACCGAACCGGATTGGACCTGGTTCAGGTCAAGTCTGGACCAGACTTGTGCTTTTTTGTTTTATTTTTTATATTAAAAATTGGGCTTTATTTATTTTATTATTGGGCCATCTGGTGTACCAAACGAGTTTAATGACTTTTTTGTTTCTAAACTAAAATTTCCAGAAAACCAAATTTAAAAACTAGTGATAAAATGAAGAGAATAAATTAATCTGATGCCTATATTATTACAATGGGTTGGTGCAGATACATAGAGAGCAAACCAAAGTATTGGAATCCAAAGCACACAGTGATAGTGACAGGGATACAGAACATGAACAAGATGACAATGGCTCTGTGTGTTCTACACACAATCAACCACCAGAACTATGGTGAGAGGACCAGTAGGATATCAGAACTCATCATGGAATTGAAGAAAATGTTTGAGAACCTTGGTATCAAGTATCATCTTCTTCCTCAAGAGCTCCATATCACCCAACTCAATATGATGCCATTACACTCTTGATTTTGATTTTGCCTTCTTTTTTATGATGCCATTATATTATGTTACTTTTTTGTTTCTTCCTTTCCCCACTGTCTTATATATGGTTTTATGCACTTAATTTGTGTGTTATTTTTCAGACTACTATGCCAAAGCATTTCCTCTCATGATGAGGAAAGTGTGAAATTTGATCATCTTTTATTGTTGAGAAGTTAACAGATTGAGAAATTAGTGAAAAACAAAGTATTAAAATTGTTGTATATTTTGTACAAAAAAAAAAAAAAAAATCTGATCCTTGGCAGTGATTGAAAAGAAAAGAGGGCTAATAGTCCTGCTACTATAATATATATATATATATATATATATATATTTGTCATGAAAAATGTCGTCGCAAATAGTTATTTTCCCATTGCAAACTGGTATTTGCAATGGTGGTTCACAATAAGTGTGGCTGCAAATGAGCTTTTTTTTATGGCGGCCAACAGGGGCTATGAGAGAGGGAGGACAAATTAGTACTTCAACCTGTGAAACAAAATTTCACACCACCTGAGTATGAAAGTAGATGAAAGTAATATATAATATATAACGTTTTTGGAATTGAATTCTACCTAAGCCAAGACTAATACCAGGGAAAAGTAGAGACAGAGATAGAAAACGGTGTCATTTATTAAAATCATAAGTAACGTAAAACATATTTGTGATGGTTAACTTTATTTAGCAAATTTGAATTATTCAAATATATAAGTAAACAAATGAATTGAATTTAAAAAAACAATACATGAATAGTTCAAGTCATTTAGAGTAAAATGTGAGACCAGTTCATGGAGATAAGAAATTTATACCACACTACCAAATTTATTGTATCAAAGGGGGTGTGGCTTTCTAGTAATGCTATTTTTTGACTTAATAATGTGAGATTGGTTAATGGGGCATGAGAAAATTTATCATACCATTCCTATTCCATTCACTCAAGTCAGAAACATTTCTACAAGCAAGAAACTAAATCATAGAATATAGGGTAGTAGCAAAGGGAGTGAAGCAGCAAATTGCATTAGATACATATCAAAATCACAAGCTGTGACCTTTCAACAAATTACATATTTCACATTTAGGTTTCACGACATAAAACAGAAACAAAAACAAACAAACAAAAAAAGATAAAAGGGAAGAGTACAATTCTGAGTGCTTGTTGACTTGGAAAAAAATATATTATATCAAAAGCCACTATTTATGGGGGAAAAAAAATTATTGAGTAACTAATTTAAAATTGAATTTCAAGATTCTTAGAATAGACTTCTTTTTTTTTTTTTTCACCCAAGCATGCTGGTTGCTTTTTACTTTTTTTTTTTTTTTTTTTCTCTCTATGCGATTGGTAACTTACTCCTCTGTCCTATAACTTGTTATAATGAATATCACCACAATATTTGTATTGGTTTCTTTATCATCTGGTACTCTTCTTGGAGGAATACCAGAGTTTCTTCTGACAAATCAAGATTTTCTCCTTCTCTCCACCGTATTCCGTGTCTTCTTTGCGGCAGCTCCATCTCATCCCCTTGGTAATGGTAGCAACTGCATCTACAAAATAGCTGGACTCCCGGATTATCGCATACCCATTTGGACGCAGGATCCTGTCCATCTCCAGCAGCACATACTTCATATCGCATCTGCATAACAATTATCCAAAAATGTCAAAAACCACAAATATTTCATTTTCACAAAAAGAATAATTATTTTGGTTCTAGCTGGATGCGTGTTTTTGTTTTTGTTTTTTTTTTTTGTTTCCCTGATATAGGTCAACCAATTAGGTAATTAAATTTTTTTTTTTCATGATTTGCATAGACCGCTTGGTAACTCCACTATTTATAGGTAAGTTCACATCGATATTTACTGTGATTGATCCATAACCGAGTAAATAAATTCTGAAAGCCTAACTACAAGTCACAGCCTACATTACCCGCAACACAAATTGTTCTGGTACGAGGAACGGAACGTGATACACCTCATACCCAAAATTGTGGTACAAGAAAACTGGGTTTGTATAGAGAATTTCTTTCAAAATCAATAAACCATATAGTATATAATTTTCCAAAATAACTATGTAAAAATAAGTGTATTATGACATTTTTTGTTCTTAATAAAAGTCCACTCTCTAAATTTTAATTTATTATTTTTGTTTTTTGAATGTTAAGGAAATAAATAGAAAAAGCTTTGGAGATCGTTTTGAATCACTAAATTTACCAATTTTGGAATGAAACTGCACCATGTTTTGAAATGCGTGTTTGAAAAGGTAAATTGCTAGGGTATTAGTAACACACACGTCACAACATAAAGCAAACAATCATGTGTATTCAAGCAGATTGACTGAAGGAATCAATAAATTTAAGCATAGCAACCCTTACCTGTGGCTTTCAGCACTAAAAAGGCCATCAAGATGAAGAAGATCATACGTTCGAGGATATGTTGAGAAAGCCTCACACCTACAAAACAAGCAACAAATGATTCTAAGATATGCCATCTAGTATGTTAGAAGTAAGCCATACACAGACTCAAAGACTCAACAAAAACTCTATGTACCCAAAAAAAATATCCAATCAAGTTTCAACAATTAGAATCTAATCCACGCATTTCAAATTCTGGATATTTTTTTTGGGATGTAGCATCGCTAAAGACTCAAAAGGGTTATATGAACGTAATTGTAATTACCAGTCATGGTAGGCTCCAATGAGGCCCCTGTCGTAGACGACAGCAAGTGTGTTGGGAGCATAGGAAGAGACGACATTCATCACCCAAAGCGGGTCATTAATCACAGCCGCAGCAAAACCTCCATAAACCGTATTCATGTCCATCACATTTCTTATCTTGTCGGTCCCAATTGCAGGAAGCAACTTCTTATAGTGCTTTGCTCGCACCTTCCACTTACTGTCATCATGCTTGAACGCACCGCCACTGCCACCGTGAATGTCACCGATGCGTTCAGGCACCACGGTCAACCGTTCTGGCCATTTGGGGATCGATTTTAGTGCTATCTTCTTATGCTTCGGGTTTGGAACAACAACACAAGGCCTGAGAGGAGTGTACCATGCTGAATCAGGTTCGGTGCCATCATCGCATGTTGGTGGGTAGGCATCCGGGACAGCAAGCTTACTGTAGCAACTATTGTCTTTCGATTTTTGCCACACAGCAATGTCATCCTTTTTGTTGTACAATGTGAAGCACATTGAAGTTAGCAAGTCTTGCAACTTTTCGTAATCAGATTTCTGCTCTTCCACGGTTGTGTTCCAGCCTCTCCAGCGGTTTTCATAGTTCACAGGAGGACCAGACAGAACCCAGAAGCCTCCAGGACGGAGAATGCGGAATACCTCTAGAAGGTAAATCCCACCTGAAAAAAAAGGATATTTTCTCAGGTTATAAATGATTTGCTATGACAAATAATGGAAGAAAATTTGCACTTTGGCTATTATTAGTGTATGAGACACATAATGAAGTTGTGATCAGTTATAAACACAAAAAGAAACAAACAAACAAAACAATAACAAAAACTGTGGTGATCTAATTAGATAACAGATGTCAGGTGTATGCTCTTAAATGTCCCTAACATGGTTCTACCTACCTACCACCTGGTCAACCTCAAAGTTCTTCATAAGCAAAGAATCTAATGAAAGAAATGTTGTGAGGTGTCTAGTATTTTTACTGTATACTCAGATTTACTATAATGAGCCTTTTCCGGAGGGTGGAGGGCTGAGGCCCGGAAGTACGTATTGTATTTTTTCGGAGTAGAATTTTTTGCATGAGTGTCACGGTATTGTTGGGCGGCTGGGTTGAGAGATTCTGAGCTTTGTAGACCTCATTGTACATAGTGGATTTGTATCTTTGTATTCTATGTGTTTGTTTTTATATTCTTTTTACTATTTTGCAGATTGAAGCTATATCACATAACTTGGAAGTTCAGGCATGACAAAACATGAAAAACAGCTATATTTGATGCTTTTAAAGAACATACCATGTTTGGTGAGTAGATCAAGTTTTACTGATTTAGTAAGACAAGGCACTTAAATTGAATAGGATGTTCTTTAAGTAACGTAACAGAAAAAAAAAATGAAAAAAAAAAAGAAGATCTAATTTTGAAAATCCAAATCCCATGACATGGTTAATTGTGCTGCTTAATTAAAGTTAAAATTGCCATTATGTGTTGAGAGAGATTAATTACCAAATTCTGTCCATGGGATAAGACATCTCGAGCAATGAGCCATATCAAAGGCATTCGAAGGGAAAGGAAGTCGCTGAGTGGAAATGACGCCCAGAATCGCGGGAATGCCGCGTTCCAGTGCAAATTGGACTTGAGCCTCATGATTATCCCTTGGGGCAAGGGAGACCGTTAGAATTCCACGATCTAGTAAATCGCCTCCCCAACTAGCAACCTACATACATATAGAACGATTGTAAAGATCGAGTGACAGCATTCAACATGTATTAAAAATAAGAACTGCTTAATTTTCATGATCACACATTTTTTTACCCAAGAAAACCTCTAACCACAATGTTCCACATGTTAACTGATGAAGAAAGAAGAAAATAATGACATGGGACTCACCCCACAGCCGGTATCAATGGCAGTTCGAATCGTCCCATCATGGATTTCCGGGATCAGATCTTGCATCAAATCAACGTAGGCACCAACACCTTTGGGGAACATAGTACCCCCACCGGGGAAGTGGAATTTGTCCCCTTCTTTCCTTAGCCAGTTCTGATTAGACTTCTGCTTGTTGATCCAATCATAAGGCACATTCCTAGAACCAGATCCAAATCATTTATTCAGTAACATTCATGAAGTAAGCCGATCCAAACAACACAAATCTCACCAAAATGCTTTCGCATTATAATTACCTGTACCAACACTCATCCCTGCTCTTTGGCCATTTGATTGGTGGTTTGTACCCATCTGGTGGGGGGACTAAGCATTCCTTCCTTTCAAATGCCGGGGGACAATGGCGCTCCAAGAAAGTGAGTCGATGAACACTATACTTCCTCCACCTCTGGAACAACAGTAATATGAAATTAGTCGCTGAAAAAAAATTGGGTTATAATATAATTTAAGCTAATAAATTTAAGACAATTTTAAACCATAGCTAAAATCAGATGCATAAAAGACTTGGTGCTACGAAATTAGCCATAAAAAAAATACCCTTGGGTCTGTGCACGGAGTGTAGTCTTGATAGTCAATGCTGCATTCAGGGAAGGCAAAGGACTTCATTTGGAGAGGCCCAGCATTGGTTTCCTTAGGCGATTCAACCACTTTGACAACATCTTTAGTAAAGTACTTGTCCTTCCCGGAACAAAATATGCCGCCAAGATAGAATGAAAATCCACATAGTACGACGAACATAATCGAAATGGGGACTACCCTGGATCTTTTATCTGGATGAATCAATGGTTTTCCTTCTTTGTGCTTCATGGTCCCAAAACCTTATGAACTATCTGAACATATATTTAAAAATAATAATAATAAATATCAAAAAATTAGCATCAAGTTTAATTTCTTTGGATATGTCCTCTCAGTAATCAAACAAATCAATAAGGGAAAGCAGTCAAACTGATTGAAACAAGTTTATAACTGAGAATTCTAATTATGAAGTGACTGAAACAGAGCAGTCAAGCCTTTAATGATATCCAAGTATTTATGCAAGGCCTTATCAGCTATAAATCAATTAAAGATGTGTTTGGATAAATGATTTGATGCTTATTCATTTTTTATGGTTAACTAAACAAAAAATGATTTTTATTTTTATTTTTATTTTTTTTGTTGTCGTCACAGATCCACCAATTTTCTTCTTATATTCCTAACCCAACCAAACAAAACAAATTTTTAGCTTCTTCTACTAATTTTCAATACCTTTTCTTTTCACAAAGCCAAAATCCAAACAGATCCAAAGTTCCAAAACACAGCAAAAATGAGAAGGGAAAGAAGAAGTCTATTCTAATATATAACGTAAAGGTTGCTGGTGCTGTTGACACATTTGTGTCTCATATTTTAGATTTTTCTAAAATACCCATTTAGTTGATGCTTATGTAAAAAAGAAGAGGAAAAGAACCAAGATAATGGGTTTAGAAAAGTAAGTCCCCACATGAGCAACATTTTTGTTTGTCATTATTCTTAGAAAAATGATTTGGACCTGAGCACCCTGACGACCCCCTCTGGCCTATGATTGGCCAGTTTTTTTTTCTTTTTCTTTTTTTTTCTTCTCCTCCTCCAATCACCAACCCCCATGTGTGTGGGTGGTGGGGTGGTGGGGTCTCCATCACTTCCGTTATTCTTATACTATGCGGCCCGCTAGTTACTAATAAAAGGAAGAAGCAACACTCACATCAAAGTCAGAGAAAAACAGGGGATTGGTGATTAAATTCAGATCTAATGGCCAAAACCCACTGTTAACAGGACTTGAAAAATCTGCAAACCCTAGAAGATCTGAAAGCAACTTCCGACATGTTACACTTATCATGTGACTTTTCATAATATTTTCCAAATGACATTGGCCCCAAACCCCTATGAATTAGCCGTCCAAATGAGGATGCGGGACCCTCTTACCCACCAAGTCAAGAAAGTTGCAAAAAAATCAATCAATCAATCTTGCAACTAACCATGCAAAAAAGCATCTAATATATATACACACATTTTTTAAAAAAAATTGTATATATTCACATGCAGATAATTTTTATCATTCCCTAAACCTGAAGATAAGTTATTACTATTCAATTATCAGTGTTACTATTTTTTTCCCGAATAATCCATAGCAAAAGTGACCACATAAAGGGCAGTTTAACAAGAAAAAGCAAAAGCATGTAGCTTCAAAACATACCCACCAAAGAAAAGAAACCCATAGAATTCTTCAATATTTTGTGAAATTCAAGCAATTAACTAAAGGAATCTTCATGGTGAAAAGATTTAATAATTTTTTTTTTTTTCTTGAAGACCCATTTGAGAATTCCCTTCAAAACAAACCCACCAAATAAACCGATAGAAGTCTTCGATGCTTTGTGAAATTCAAGCAATTAACTAAAGGAATCTTCGTGAAATGGCAAATTAGAAATATGCAGTTCAATCAGAAAGTGAAAAGATTTGATAAAAAAAAATTTCTTGAAGACCCATTTGAGAATTCCCAAATCTTTTGCTCTCTACAACTACACTAAGCTGAAAAAAATAAACCTATGACTGAAACCAGATCTGTTTCACAAAATAAAAAGAAACCCCCAATTGGAAGGTATGAAAATTTGGCAACAAACCCAATAGGAGAGAGACAAAGATGAAGCAATGTACATGTAATGACAAAGTTTAAAGATCTGAAAGGAGATCTTACCAAGAAAGAAAGTAGAAAAACAGAGGACTCACAGAGACCAAAAAAAAAACAAACAGATGGAGAGTGAGAATCAGACTAGTACCTTTCTTGGTGGGAATGTAGCTCAGCTTTGAGAACGCACTTGGTTACCTACAAAGACAACAATAATGTTTCAAGAATTGAACTTGGGTAGATGGGTTTGAGATTGAGAGACCTCTCAGAGTCCCAAAGAAGAGAGAGAGAGAGAGAGAGACTCTCTGAAACTCAAACCTCACAACCCACACACAAGTGAGATAGAGAGGAATAATAAACCTTAAATAAAGTCAGGTACTTCACCTTCTTGCCCTGCTGTCTGGTTTCTTTTCTTTTCTTGTTTTTTATTACATTGTTACCTTCTTGGTTCTTTCCCTCAATTTCCCCACTCTCTCCCTCTCTCTCTCTCTCTCTCCACACTTTCTCTTTCTGTATATGTCAACTGTATCTCTCTCCCATTAGTAAAGCAGGGAGAATTTTATTACACATACTTCTAGATCATATTTACCATTAATTATGTTATTTTTTTTATAATTATGATCAATTATTTTCTTTAATTATAATATTATTTTAAAATATTTAATCATGACATGTTTTATATTTTATCATAATATTTTTTAATTATAATTTAAAAAATATGAAATTATATCATTTTTTTATATTTATGAAGTGTATATAGTACACACTTTTTGAGGGATGTGTACCATAATCTTCCCTACTATTGAACTTAGAAAAATTTTGTGTCACATGTATTTTGGTTATGAATTTTGATATTTGATTATGATTTATGATATTAGTTATAATTTATTAAAATATTAATTATAATAAAAAAAATTAATTATAATTTTTTTAATTATGACTCTCATGTAATAAAATTATGACATTTATAAAAATTAAACTCACAAATAATATAATTTATATATAATACACGACTCACTATTTTTTTGATTTGGATCATGTGAATTACATAAATTCTGGTAAAAGGTAAGACCAGAATGATTACCCACTATATGAATGGGGAAAAAAAAAATTAGGCAGCATAGCATGTGTTTTTGTTTCTTTTCTTATTATTACAAGTGTGAATGTGAGGTAAAATTAATGTTGACAACTAAGATCTAACTGTCGTTTTGAAAGGTTAGAGCGAACCAATGAAGAACTGCCACGCAATAGTTCGCAAAAAGTGACGTTTGCACGCGGTCAAGTTCATAAGATAGTGAGGTTTCGTGTCGGTTTACGTAAGTCCGGGGGAAATTGCTCGTCAGTGTACACTTATCAAAATATTTACTTATTCTATCACTTTCAGCCTGTGTTTGGTAAGTGTGTTTGTAAGTGTTTTTGGTTATTTTAGTCACAAAAAATAAAATAGACTATTTTAGTCATAACAAACAAAACATCACATCCAACCCATAATCATTACATTCTTCTTTCATAAAAAAATTCAAAAAAGCCAAAAAGCCAAAAAGTCCTTCCCAAACCAAGCTTTTAAGCCCAGGCTAAAATAGCCAAAAAAACCAAAAAGTCAAAAAGTCAACCCACTTCCCAAACGGAGGCTCAGTATGTTTGGTTAGAGTTTTTTAAAAATTATTTTTAAAAAATTTTATTTTTTTATTTTTCATATTTTTTTATTTTATTGAATTTTTCTAATATTTAAAAAAAAAATTATTTTTTAGATATACCTAACATAAATATACCTAAAAAGTAAAAAAATTATGAAAGAAACCTTTTAAAAATTCACTAAATACCAAAAATATAAAAAAATACGAGAATTTCAAATATGTTTTGTATTTTTATGTATTTATTAATTTTTTTAACAATTTTTTTACTTTTTAGATACATATAAATCAGGTGCATCTAAAAAATTAAAAAAAAATGTTTAAAATTTTAAAAATATTCACTAAAAACAAAAAAACACGAAAATCAAAAAACTCAATTTCAAAAAACTTAATCTAAAAAACTCAAACCAAACACACTGATTAGTTTTAAAATATTAGTTTATGTTCAAAAATCAAGTAAAAAATAATATAAATTTTTTATTTTCCATTCTTTTAAATTTATTAACAATATAAAATATACAATTATGACATTGATATTTTTAAAAAAATATACTATCAAAGGATAATTTTGAAAAATTAATTTTTCTAAATTGCAATAATTATACTACCAAAAAAAATTAAATTCCCCAAAAGAGACAATTATTTTGGAACGGAGTAGTACAAATTAATACAAAATTTTATAAGTATTGTTAAATATAATGATTATATATTATGTCTATCATATATATCATATTATATTTATTATCATACTTAAATTTTTCTCCTCTTATATAAAAGAGTCTTATATGCATTGTTATAACATTTAATATAACATTTTCATTATCTCTCTTAAATATTATAATATGGTATCAGGACTACAGGTTAAACTCTTGGTGTTCTTTACCTTATCGGCAGGCGACAACCTTACCTTGGCTGCCCGTGTCATGACCCAAGCTCGCCCCTACAGGTTTAGCATCGTAACCGACCAGTAATCCTGGGATTACCGAAGGCCTCTGAGACATTTTAACATAATATTAGGGGCTAGCGGAAGCAAATAACAAATATACAATGTCCATTGAGCTGTGCAGACTCATATGAGACCAAAAAAAATTGAAACTTTTTATATACATAGTTACACATCATTCTTACGTCATCATATAAATACAGATTAGATAAAAAGGGACTTAGCCTTGTATCCAAAATAAACAAAGACTTGTTTAACCAACAAGAAAATAAAACTTGAATTTTATGTACTTATCCATAACTACTAGACATATCCGGAACCTCTACGGGAGGCACATAGGCTGGCTGACAAAACAAAGTCCAGGCAGAAGCTCTAGGCCGGGTAACACGGCCGATCATCTACATACATAAATAATACAATGAGCTGAAACCCAGTAAATAATAACAGGGTAAAGAGTCTTAATGAATAAGTCCATCACAGAGTCAAAAATCAGAGTTTATACCAGAAACAGGTTCTTATCGGAAACAAAGTCTTATGCATATTCAGATTCCAAATCAGAAACAGATTCATATACATGTTCATATTCATTTTCATATTCAAATTTTGTATATGATCATACGTGGTTCATCCATTAGCGCTAACAAATCCGATGGCCCATAAAGGGACAACCTTAAAGGCATTCTAATGACCCATAAAGGGACCTGATGACCCATAAAGGGACGGCCATAAAGGCATTTTGATGACCCATAAAGGGATGGCCATAAAGGCATTCTGATGACCCATAAACGGACCTGATGACCCATAAAGGGACGGCCATAAAGGCATTCTGATGACCCATAAAGGGACCTGATGATTCATAAAAGGACGGCCATAAAGGCATTCTGATGACACATAAAGGGACGCATATCATATGATACTAAGGATGCCACGAATGCATTTCAGAATCTTGGATAATCATTCATTCATTTCAAACATAGCGTAGCATTTCAGAAACCAATCATTTCATAATTTCAAACATAGCGTAGCATTTCAGAAACTAATCATTTCATATCATAATGTTCAGAAAATATTTAATATTGAACATAACTTTACAAAGTTATTACTCACAACGTTCTGGTGCTTGATTCGTCCCTGCGCTTGACCCTCAAAAATCAAGCAAAGGAGCAAGCTTTGAGAAGAATCCTTCGCGAATCTGAATTCTAATCGGTTGAAAATATTGAACTTCAAGCCTTTTTCTCTTTTTGGTGGAAGATCTTGATCAAAACTTAGATGAATGGCGAGTATTTGGGATCAAAACCCTAGGGTTTTCGGACCTAGGGCAAGAGGGATGAAGAGAGGAGAGGAAAGTGTGATGAATGATCTAGAAAAGTCCCTTTAAACATGCTGAATTCGCGCGGTCCGCTCGAGCGTCGCTTTCTACGTTCGAGCGTACCCGCTTCCAGCACATATATAAAAACTTCGAATAAGTATAACTCTCCCATCCGGACTCCGTTTTAGGTCGTTCTTGTGTCCAAATTGAAGCCCCGGAAATAAACGTAGGAAAAATTATCCGAATTAAATTCTTGGTTTACTCCTACTTTACCATTATGTTACCACTTTGATCAATGCCCCAAAATAAAACAAGGAGGTTCTAAATATTAAATTAAGCTTATTATCATCATCAATTTTTGTTTCGTAAATCACCAAGGCCCTCAATTTCAAATCAAATCCCAAAATCCTTGTCGATAAATTTCATATTCAAATTGAATACCTCACAAATTAATTTAATTCATAATAATCATAATTTCTCAAACCTTTTAACATGATTAAACATACATATTCTTATCGAACACATAATTGCATGCGTAATTAAGTATATTACAGGTTGGGTTATTACAGCCCGCCTGATCTCAACCCATTATATTGTCATACTTTCCTTTGAGTATCGCTTCATAGTGATATTTTCCTTTGTCCGCTAGTTTATTTCTATCACAAATATCTCTATCTTACTATTATTTTTTACTCGCAATCCATTTTTTTTCCTACTTCTACTCCACTCTTTCTTTCCATCTGGTTCAACCTCAAATAGGTTTTTGTGGGGATGTATTTTCTGAATACCAACACGTGGCAAGGTGACGCCGACGTGTAAGCCGAGGTGCCACGTGTCCTGGTTGTGACGCCGAGGTTATCTCGGCAAGGCCGAGGTTATCTCCGAAGATATCGGAATCTGAGATAAATGGGCAAAAGATAAGGGACAAGAGTCCTAGAGTAAAGAGGAGACTTAGCCAAGATAAGGATAAAGCTCTTAGGGAGTTTATCTTTATCTCTTGAGGAGTCCAAAGTAAGTACTAAACAGGAATTCATAGAAGTCAGGCTTCTTGTGGGACTAGGATTAAATAAACTATAAAAGAGAGGCACCCCCGTGGGTCTAAGGTACGCAGTTTTATGCTTTGAGTAGCAAGTTTAGCACTTGATTATCTTTGAGAGATATACTGACTTGATCGTCAGAGTGCCCCCGGGTGGAGGAGCCACCGCCGGAGCCTTTTCTTTCTGTTGCAGGTTAGCTGAATCCATCTATTCTGCCGGTGCTCTCCAGCTGATTACTAGGCGGGCAGTGTGGTCAGAAAATTTCCCATACAATTTGGCGCCGTCTATGGGAAACTTAGAAGAATAGATGGCCAGTAACGGACAGAAGGAAAACATTGGGGGCGACACTCCTGCAGGGAGTGGCAGACCGATTGACCTTGACGTTGAAGGAGACAACCACAATGTAGAAACTCATGAC